GCTGCGGCGACACGCGGCGGACGCGTCGCGCAGGGCCTCCCCGGCCGAGGGCCCCTGCGAGGACGTGGACGACGGCGCCAGCCGCATCTTCTTCGAGCCCAGCCTGTACCACTGCCTGGAGAACTGCGGCTCCGTGCTGCTCTCCGTCGCCTGCCGGGGCGGCGAGGGCAACAGCACCTTCTACGTGGACTACCGCACGGAGGACGGCTCGGCCAAGGCGGGCTCCGACTACGAGTACAGGTGGGTCCGGGCCGCGGCCTCCTGGCCGCCGCCAGCCCGCCCTGGCTCTGCTGTGGGCGGGCCCGCGGGAGGCAGTCATTCGTTCATTCGTTCATTCATTCGTTCGTTCATTCATTCATTCGTTCGTTCGTTCATTCGTCCATTCATTCGTCCATTCCTCTCGAGGGCCTACTTGGTACCACACTGTTCCAGGCATTTGGCACATGCTGCCGGGCAAGAGAACACGAGTGTCCACTGTCCACAGGCCGCCCCTCCGTGTTCATTACATACCCGTGGGTTATGCGTATGCTTACCTGATAGGTGTAGGGGGGACCAAGTACCCCCTACACATACCATTACTAAAATAATGTTTATTGAGCACCTACTGTATGCCACGATGGACAAGACATCTAAGGTCCCTGCCTTCCAGTTACAATAAGGCTGTAAACGATTCAATATATAAAAACATCAGGTAATGTAAGTGCTGCATGGGAAAATTAAGTAGCATAAGAGGAGAGTGACGGTGCCCGAATTGTCCCCACGTCTTTGGCTCCACCATAAAGCAACCCGCCCTTTGCACCCTACTCAGTCTCACCGCCCTCTCTTCACCCCCCTTTGAGCAGATGTGTGGTCTTCCCTCATTCAGCAGTTCCTACTGAGCACCTAGTGTGTGCCAGATGCTTTGTTTAATGGCTGAACATACAAATATCAAGATAACGTCTGTCCTCATGTGGCCCACAAAACCCATCATCTATTTGGAGTTCTGTCCATACCACACTCTCAAGAACTGCAGCTTTACAGCGTAGTTTAACTGACGCGCAAGTCCCCCACAGTTTCCTAGAATAACAACACTTACCATGTGTCTACTATGATCAGAAGTGGATCTGGGCAATGGAGGCCAGCAGTGACTGAAACACATTAAGTCGCTGCCCGAACGGAGCCAACGTTCTCATGGGAAAGACAGGCCACTGGGAAGTATACACTGAATACATGAAAAGGTCAGGAAGTGGTAAGAGCTGTGAAGAAAAATAAAGCCGAGGACAGAAAATTAAAGATTTTTGAGATGCATTAACACCCCAGTCACTTTGCTGTCTCCAGCCCTGGCAAGAGGAACCCACTGATTCCCTGTCCCCTCACAGTTTCACCCTGACTAATCTAATGTCACTGCCTCCCTCCCTCCCTCCCTCCCCCGCCCCAGTGTAGAGCATCTTGTGTGTGCTTCAAGGACTTACACAACTGACTCTTTTAAACCTAAGCCAGCTCACGTCCCTCCTCTGCTCAGAGGCCTCCCATGGTTCCCATCTCACTTGGACTAACCACAGTCCTCATCGTGGCCTACCAAGGCCTAGGACATCTGCTCCTTGTTCCCTCTCTGATGTCATCTCCCATCCTCTCCCCCTTTCTCCCTCCACTGCAGCCACACTGGCCTCTCCGCTGTTCATCAAACATCCCAGGTCTGCTCCTGCCTCAGGACATTTGCATTGGCCATTCCCTTTAACATGAATACTCTCCCCCAGATATCCTCCACTTGGCTTCCTCCCTCAGGTCTCTGCTCAAATGTCACCTCCTTAGCAAAGCTTTTCCTGACGCCCTGACACAGCACCTCTCCTCACTCTGCCCTCCTCTGCTTTTCTCCACAGCACCGTGGCACCTGACATCATGTTTGTAATTCACCTCCTGCACTAGAATGCTTCTCTGATCTGGTTTTACTGCTGTTTCCCCAGCACTTAGAACAGTGCCTGGCACACAGCAGGTGCTCAATAAATATTTGTTGAATGACTCAACTGTAACTAAACCATTAAATGTGTAATTGTCACTGTGATACAGCTCTGCCATGAGGCTGAGCCCGTGAAGACAGAGTCTGTTCACTGCTGTGTTCTCAGCAGTGTCCAGCACAGGGCACAGGGCAGGTGCTCAGGGTGTGTTTGTCGAATGAACAAATGAATGACACCAAGTTAAAGAGTGTGGTCTTTCTCTTGGGGGTACCTGGGAACACAGAAGGGTTTGTCAGAAGTGAGACAAGGTCCGTTCTGGGCCCTACATCACTTCCACTCCAAGTGTGGTCCATTTCCCAGGATCCTGTGCTTCCCCTGGGAACTAGTTAGAAATGCAGTTTTGAAACCTGCAGCTACTGAACCAAGACCTGCATTTTAACAGGACCCCCCAGGGATTCATGACCGTGGAACCCTCCAGGTTCTCTCTCCACCTTGGGACTTTGCATGTGCTGTTCCCTCTGCCTGGCCCACAAACCCTCCCCCAGGAAGCCTGCCCTGACTCGCTTTCCCCCAGGCCTGACCGCAGCCCTGCACCCCTTTCCCCCTCCGCTGCAGCGAGGGCACCCTGGTGTTCAAGCCGGGCGAGACGCAGAAGGAGCTGCGCATCGGCATCATCGACGACGACATCTTTGAGGAGGACGAGCACTTCTTCGTTCGGCTGCTGAACCTGCGCGTGGGCGACGCGCAGGGCATGTTCGAGCCCGACGGCGGCGGGCGGCCCAAAGGGCGGCTGGTGGCGCCGCTGCTGGCCACCGTCACCATCCTGGACGACGACCACGCGGGCATCTTCTCCTTCCAGGACCGCCTGCTGCACGTGAGCGAGTGCATGGGCACCGTGGACGTGCGCGTGGTGCGCAGCTCGGGCGCGCGCGGCACCGTGCGCCTCCCCTACCGCACGGTGGACGGCACGGCGCGCGGCGGCGGGGTGCACTACGAGGACGCGTGCGGCGAGCTCGAGTTCGGCGACGACGAGACCATGTGAGAGCGCGGGGAGCCCCGGGAGGCGGGGAGGGGCCTGCTGGAG